GAGAATACTTATAAGTTTTTTTTCAACATTAACTGCCATTTCTTCAATTCGTCGCTTTACTGTGCTATCGCTTAGGGGCAACATTTTTAAAATTTCAGGTATATCCTGATGCATTACTGTTGAGATAAATTCTTTTATAGAGGGTATTATTACAGTTTCTCCAATATTATAGCTTTTACCACTTTTTGCAATTAATTGTTAAATGCGATAAGCGGCAATTAATCCATCTTCGTTCGCTGCATGATGCAACGATTGTTGAACGATTTTTAATTTTTTTATATATTTCCTGAAAATATTCAATGGGCTTGTCCTTATCATTTGGATGCTTTGTAGAAAGATGTTCTCGCAATCGACTTGGCTGCATTGCCTCATTGGATAATGTTTTATGAGACAATAAACACATTGGATGTTGTTTATTTACAACAGATTCTATGAAACCCATCTTCAGATACTCTGGCAAATAGCCACGAGTGTATTTCTTTTTTTGAGACATGGACTCACAATATTTTGTTTGAAGCTGTAGGCACGTGCTCACTCTCACAAATCTAACTGCGTACTGAGCAGTGCGACCGCAAACAAAAGAGCCTGCACCGTGTATCGTCGTCTGCGCATGCCTCTCGTGCATCATGGATTGGGTTTGGGGGGGGCGCCGGCTACCACCTCTGCTTGTCTGTTACAGCTGGGTGTGGGGGGAGATGCGCGAGCTATTCTGAGACAAGGCTTTTGTTTGCAGTCGCACTATAGCGCCATTTAGTTTCACTTACGTAACGTGAACTAAACTTATGCGCGGGCGATACAAATAGTATATTTTCAGAAATTTAAATTGTCACGGGGAATTTTATGAAAATCTAATGAAAATGTTTTTAAATAATGCTATGAAAATTTTTTAAAAAGTCAATTAAATTAAAAAAAAGGAAAGTGCTTCAGTATCGGACAAAACACCTACTGCCCACCATGAAAGCTGGAACGCCCACTAGTGGGCGGTAGGGACCAGGTTGACTACCACTGATGTACAGTATATGTATACTGTACATGTGTTGGGGAGTAAACCATCTGGTCCAGGTATTTTCCTTATTTTTGTCTTTTTTAATGGCTTCACAAACTTCCCTTGAGGTAAAATTCCTCAAGAAGCTATATTCTATTAGCATATCACAAAATGTGAATTTGAGCAGAGCAAAATCAAATCAAATCAAATCTTTTTTTTTAATAGAAATTTTTATTAATTTTTCAATTAAAGCAACAAATACAAATGATGCATCTATATACACCAACAAACAATAAAAATACTCAAAACATTTTCGGATACACTCGGCAGTCCCGCCTTGCCTCCACCCTCATCCACTTTACCTCTCCTTCCTCCCCCTGAACCCACAACCTCTCCTCCTTTTCTTACCACTTCTCTACATCCCCTCCGCATTCTTAACCACCTCGTCGAGTGCAGCTTGGGGTACCAGCCGAGTATATCCTCTTATTAATACAATTCCATTATATACCTATATCGCCTGTTCACCGCCCTGAGTCCCGCAAGGGAGATAGGGCGGTATATAAATTTAATAAATAAATAAAATAAATAAATAATAATTGAAT